GTACTACAGGCACACACCATGACACCCAGCTAATTTTTGTGTTTTTACTAGAGACTGGGTTTCATTATGTTGGCCAGCCTGGTCTTGAACTTCCAACCTCAAGTGATCCACCTGCCTCAGCCTTCCAAAATGTTCAGATTACAGGTATAAGCCACTGCACTCAGCCCCAGTTTCATTTTCTGTGGTTTCAGTTACCCCACAGTCAACCTGGTCCAAAAATATGAAGTTGAAAATCTCAGAAATAATTCCTAAGTTTTAATTGGTACACTATACTGAATAAGGTGATAAAATTTCACTTCGTCCCACCTGGGATATCATTCATACCTTTTTCCACTCTATCCACACCGATACAACACTGCCTACCCATTACTGTATAGGAAAAAGCATAATGTATACAGGGTTTGATACTGTCTGTGGTTTCAGGCACCCACTGAGGGTCTTGGAACGTATCCCCTAAGGGTAAGGGATTATTGTATGCTTGTACGCTGATACAGAAATAACACAAAGATTTATTTTCTTTATTTTGGGGCAGGATCTTGCTGTGTCGCTCAGACAAGAGTGCAGTCATGTGATCACCGCTCATTGAAGCCACCTACTCCTGGGCTCAAGCAGTCCTCCCACCTTAGCCTCCCAGGTATCTGGGACTACAGGTGTGAGCTACCACACCCAGCTCATTGTTTAGTTTTGTTTTTTGTAGAGATGGGGTTTTGCTATGTTGTCTAGGCTGGTCTCAAAACTCCTGGACTCAAGTGATCCTCCTGCCTCAGCCTCCCAGAGTGCTGGCACTGCAGGTGTGAACCACTGATCCCAGCTCCCAAATTTATCATTAAGTTAAAAAAAAAAAAGTGTAAAGCAGCACACAGTGTAATGTCTCTTTCATTGCCCAGATTATGCTCTATGTGAAGGTCAGTTGAGAGGAAGGAAGGAGGGAGGGAGGGAGGAAGGAGGAGCTCAGACTCAGGCTGTCCTTGGCTGAGCCTATCTTACTCTAGACAGTGGTTGTCACAGGAGGAGGCCAAGCAAACAGTGGAGGAGCTTTTAGCAAGAGAAACTGTCAAGGGGATTTACTCTTCTAGAGTAGTTGAAATAGAAAATCTCTGCAGTCGGCCGGGCGCGGTGGCTCAAGCCTGTAATCCCAGCACTTTGGGAGGCCGAGGCGGGTGGATCACGAGGTCAAGAGATCGAGACCATCCTGGTCAACATGGTGAAACCCCGTCTCTACTAAAAATTACAAAAAATTAGCTGGGCATGGTGGCGCGTGCCTGTAATCCCAGCTACTCAGGAGGCTGAGGCAGGAGAATTGCCTGAACCCAGGGGGCGGAGGTTGCGGTGAGCCGAGATTGCGCCATTGCACTCCAGCCTGGGTAACAAGAGCGAAACTCCGTCTCAAAAAAAAAAAAAAAAAAAAAAAAAAAAAGAAAATCTCTGCAGTCTTTCCAAAGCCAGTTTTGAGGAGAGGGTGACAGGGCGGGCGGCTGGATGCGGTAGCTAAGAGTGTGGGCTCTGGAATCAGACTTCCTGGCTTAGGATCCTAGGCAGGACCACTTCTGAGCCTCAGCTCCCTAAAAGGGAGACGTTAATATCATCTCTTGGCTGGGTGCAGTGGCTCATGCCTGTAATCCCAAGACTTTGGAAGGCTGAGGCAGGTGGATCACTTGAGGTTAGGAGTTCAAGACTAGCTTGGACAGCATGGTGAAACCCTGTCTCTACTAAAAATACTATATATATACACACACACACACTATATATATATATATATATATGGGGGGGGGAGTGCGGGAGTATGCAGGCGCCTGTAATCCCAGCTACTCAGGAGGCTGAGGCAGGAGGATCGCTTGAGCCTTGAGGCAGAAGTTGCAGTGAGCCGAGATCGTGTTACTGCACTCCAGCCTGGGTGACAGAGACTCCATCTAAAAAAATAAATATATAAATAAATAAAATCCTCTCTTCTGCAGGCTGGGTGTTTTCTTTGTGATTCCCAAGGCCCAAAGCCCAGTGGGAAATTTCTGCCACTTCCATTTGCCCTGCCATGATTTCCTGCCATCTGCTGACACTGTGTGACATGACATGTGGCTGCCTCTCCCTGGCTAGCATGGCCGCGGGGCTTGGGTCTGTTTCACTGTTCTTGTTTGTTCAACAGTGGACTCCAACGACAGCCTCTACGGGGGAGACTCCAAGTTCCTGGCAGAAAACAACAAACTCTGTGAGACGGTGATGGCTCAGATCCTAGAGCATCTGAAAACCCTGGCCAAGGACGAGGTGGGTGCTCTCTACCATCTTTCGCCGGCCTCTTGCTCTGAAAGCACAAGTTTCCAGGGTAGTTTGATGTTTTCCTTTCATTCTAGTAGGGAAACGGTCGTGAGCAATGTGTTTATGTGCAAAGCACTTCTCCAGTGCTTTGGGGCCTTCGCTCCTGCTGTTTTATCTGCCTGGACTTGCCTCCCCTAGGGCTTCCCCTGGCTGTTCCTTCTTGTCATTCAAATCTCAGCTCAGGACCTCCTCAGAGAGGCCCTCCCAGACCCTGTCTCGAGGAACCACCATCACCTGCTTGCCTCTGCCCGACTGTCCCTTTAGCCCCTGATCACAGTCTGAAATGTTCAGTTTGTCCACCCCCTGGCTCCCCAACTAGAATGTAGTTAAGCTCTGTGGGAGCAGGGACCTGCTGAGTCTTGAAGACCTGAGAGACTCTGGGACCCCCCTGTAGCAGTCTGTACCACCCATGTCTCATGCAGAGCCTGGCCTGAGGCAGATGCTCCATCACTACATGGTCAATCAGTGACAGCATGGAATTGCTATCCCTGGGCTCTTTCAGTGTCCACAACAGCCCTGAGATGTAGGTGCTGTGTTTATTTCCACTGAATGGGAAGGGAGACTGAGGCTCAGAGGGTTATTCAGAGCCCTCGGTATTTCCTGTGATAAAACAGATTCTAACCCCAGTTCCCAAACCTGAACTCTGCACTGCTACACTGCCCTCCTCAACCAAGGCGTTTCCATTTTTTTTTTTTTTTTTTCGAGATGGAGTTTCGCTCTCTTCGCCCAGGCTGGAGTACAATGGTGTGATCTCAGCTCACTGCAACCTCTGCCTCCTGGGTTTAAGTGACTGTCCTGCCTCAGCCTCCCAGGTAGCTGGGATTACAGGTGTCTGCCACCACACCCAGCTAATTTTTTATTTTTAGTAGAGATGGAGTTTTACCATGTTACTCCTGAGCTCAAGCGATCCACCTGCCTTGGCCTCCCAAAGTGCTGGGATTACAGGTGTGAGCCACCATGTGTGGCTCACTTCACTTTTAAGAGGTGGTGTGTGGTCATTATCTAGTAGGCAGTTTTTCCACTCTTCAGTGTATGTTAAGTATAAAGAATTTTGCATGAATTATTCCACTTAATTCTCACAGCAGTCCCTTTATGCTCTACAGATGAGGAAACTGAATCCTAGGGCAGTAGCTATGGAGTATGATCAAGGCAATTTTCTGGAAGCCCTGCTCTTATCCACAAACTAGATTCTTTTATCAAATGTGTCTTTTATGTTTTCAGAGCAGTTTTTTTCATATTCTCTATATAGCTGATTGATTTCAGTGTGATTTCCATCTAGTACAACCTAATTAACTACCTGGTTCCCTTCCCAAGCTATGCTGATGACCATGGCTTCCATTTTCCCAGCTTTGGCCCAAATGTGTGAGTGACATATGGGTCCCACATATGCTGTCTCAAATGTGGCTGAGCCGGTTAGTTGTGGAGACATATAGGCGTGTCTCTGTTGCTGCGGTTCAGGCTGATTGCTGTAGTGTAGTCAAGGTGGAGGTACAGGGAGGCTGGCAGCATCTTGGGAGTCAGAGCCAGTGCCTGGCCTGTCTGCGTTCCTCTGACTGACTGCTCCACACATTTCCCCTAGATCTTGCCCTTTATCCACTAGGAGCTGTTTGCTCAAAGCTCTGATGATCTTGATTATTTTATTCCCTCCTAGCAAAAGATGTTGCCTGGTAACTCATTCCTGAAATCCTCCTGGCGGGAGAGGCCTCTGTTCTCTCACCTTCCTCCTACTCAGTTCCCTTCCCCAAACCTGAGATGAATTTTGGCTCTCTGGTTCTTAGTGCCTTTCCCACCCTGTCCTCCTCCCAAAGTGCATGACCACTCCCGTCCTCCAGCTCCTTCATTCCCAACCCACTGGGTCTTCCTGTCCTCCTTCCAAAGTGCATGACCACTCCCGTCCTCCAGCTCCTTCATTCCCAACCCACTGGGTCTTCCTGGAGTTCCTCTTGTTCCTCCTGGGTTTTGCTCCTATATCTCTCACCTCATATACTTTCACAGCATTCAGACCCTTTCAGGACAAAATAAGATGAAACTGAATTGTCATAGTTCTTTGTCACTTCCTACACTGTACAAAGTATCACCCATCCTCACTGGGCATGGTGGCTCACGCCTATAGTCCCAGCACTTTGGGAAACCAAGGCAGGCAGGTAGGTCAGGAGATCAAGAGCATCCTGGCTAACACAGTGAAACCCCGTCTCCACTAAAAATACAAAAATTCGCTGGATGTGGTGATGCATGCCTGTCATCCCAGCTACTCGGGAGGCTGAGGCAGGAGAATCTCTTGAACCCAGGAGAGGAAGGTTGCAGTGAGCTGGGATCTCACCCCTGCACTCCAGCCTGGGTGACAGAGATTATGTCTTAAAAAAAAAAATTACTGTGCTCAAGTGATCCACCCACCTTGACCTTGGCCTCCGAAAAGTGCTGGGGATTCTGGGCCTAAGCCACCACCCCTGGCCTTCTCCTGGTTTCTTGAAACCATTGGCTCTGGCTACACCTTCTAGTCCAGGAACCTCTTAGGACAATGATGTGTGTTTGACAAGTCACACACACAGAAAACTTGACATGTGGTTCAAAATTATGTTTCTTCATGTCGAGGCAACAGGCTGGGTTTCATCAGAGCTGGTCACTGACAGCATAAATGATCACAGCCCAAAAGCCCCAAGCTTGCAATAGAAATAAAGCCCAGAACCATATAATTTGGAGCTGTTTATGATAGCGATACTGAAACAAAACTCTGAGAGAACAGCAAAGATGGAATGTTTCTGGAGAACATTTCATGTCACATAAATACCAGGGATGTTCACTGAAAATGTCTGTCCATAAATGCACATTTATTAAAAAAAACATCTGTCAGGCACAGTGCCTCATGCCTATAATCCCAACACTTTGGGATGCTAAGCAAGGAGGACTGTTTGATTCCAGGAATTTGAGACCAGCCTGGGGAACATAGTAAGACCCCATCTCTTAAAAAATATATAAAAATTAGCCAGGCATGGTGGTGTGGACCCTGAGTAGCTGGTACTACTCAGGAGGCTGAGGTGGGAGGATTGCTTGAGCCCAGGAGTTTGAGGCTGCAGTGAGCTGTGATTGCACCACTGTCCTCCAACCCTGGCAGCAAAGCAAGACCTTGTCTCTAAAATAAATAAAAACAAACACGATCATATGGGTGGTGGACCAAGCTGAAACCAAACATGTTATACAGTTTTAATGGTGCAATTGAAAGTTCAGCTAAAGCAATCATATTGGAATCCTCTAGAGTCTGGTACCCACAGGAGCATGAGGCTTGGTACCCAGGCGGGGCCTGGTGGGATTTCCCACCCAGTGGGGCGGGTGGCTTCCTGCTGTTGGGAAACTCTGGTGCCTGTGCTGTTTTGAGCATCACATCTCTTAGCGCTGGTAGCAGCCCTGCTTCCAAAATCATCCTCTAAGGCCACGTGAAGGTGCCAGCCTCGTTTTAATCACAAGCTGTATTTTATGAAGTTGTTTGTTTGGGTGTGGTAGAGCCGGGAACCATGCCAAACCCCTAGAGCTTCCTGGAAATTACAATTCTCATAGGAAAAGCAGCTCTTTTCTATTTAAAACCTCTGTGGCGAGGGGAGGGGGGGTCAGGCCTGATTTGGTTCCCCAGCTACGTGTTTCTGTTTTTCTCCGTGTTTGAGTATCAGCTGGCATGTGTCTCATCCCTCAGACGTGTCTCTAATGACTTCACTTTTAATGGGCTGTAGCATTTAAAACACATGCAAATTGAGCTTTTTGCTAATTGAGAAAATATGGAATGGAGAAATAGCCAATTAGGCACTGTGCTCCTTGTCTGACTTTTAAAACAATTTCTCCCCCTTCAGTGAATAGTAGTCAAAGGGCCTCTATCTGAGGAGACTTTTAGTTGGCTTTGAAAGTGTTTTCTTTTAGCTTGGTCTTCTAGATCTAAGCAGAAAGCACGGCCCCCTGTTCTCCCAGGTGTCAGACAAGGACCATGTTAGAAGGAGAGCAGAATGGACTCAAGTTCCCACTTGGGGCATAACTGAATTGTCTGTTAGAACAAATGAAGCCAGAACAGGCGGTCACCAGGCAGTTAGAGTCCCTGCCCAGTAGGTGCCAGCCTGCTTACCCCATGCCAGAGTGCTGCCTTTTCTGTGCCCACGGGCTTGGGCACCCAAAACACAACCTGCTCCCTGATGATTGGGCTCTTCAAGGTCAGCTCTGCTGCTTCTGTGACTGTCACCTGCTCTAGGCTGTTGCCAAAGCAGACTCAATTTGGGGGGCTGGGGGTCGTGCAAAAATTCTTAATTGCCACTCAGCCACCTTGCCCAACTGCATTTGAAGCTGTTCCTTGACTTTTTCCTTTTTTTAAGACAGGGTCTTGCTCTGTTGCCCAGGCTGGAGTGCAGTGATGTGATCATAGCTCACTGCAGCCTCAAATTCCAGGGGCTGCCTCAGCCTCCTGAGTAGCTGGGACCACAGGTGTGTGCTACCATGCTCAGCTAATTTTTTTTTCTTTTCACTAGAAGATTTTGAATTCTCATTTGGGAAAAAAAGAAGGGGTAAATCAGTTGGCATAGCAGCTAGCAGGCTCCATGTGAAATACCTGTGGAACGCTGAAAGGGATGGTTATAAGTTCGTTTTAGCCACCAAGAGTAGTTGAGAAAAGCAGGAAGAAATGTGTTTTGGTGTAAGCCCAATCAAGCCATTCTTTCTACCCGCATAAAACTGCACAGCGGAAGTGGCCCGTAGCACTGGGCAGGTTTCGGCCCCTTACGTCTGCGATTCCTGATACACTTCGACCCTAGGGGTGTGGCCTGGAGAGGGCTGTGAGTACATATAGGCTCCACAGTTAGCTGGAGCGCAGACTCCCCTCTGCATTGCAAGAGCCCAACTGTGGTCCTTGGGCAACTTCCTAACCTTTCAGTGCCTCAGGCGCCTCATTTGTAGAATGGGAGTGTATTAGTTTCCTGTTGCCACCATGACTGATTGCCACAAACCTGGCACTTAAAGCAGTACCCATTTTTGATCTCGCTCTTAGATAGGCAAGCAGTCAGTGCTGGCTAGGGCTGCTGTCTCTGTTCTGGGTTTCACAAGGCCAGAGTCAAGGTCTTGCTAGCTGGGGTACTGGAAAGAATCCACTTCCTGTTCCTTCAGTGTACTGGCAGACTACAGTGCCATGTGATCATGGACTGAGGTCCTGTGTCTGTTGGCCGGGCATCCTTCTCAGCTTCTAGAAGCTGCCTGTGTTTCTCAGCTCATGGCCAGCACTACTAGGCCTGGTTCTCCTTATGTCTTGAATCTCTGACTTCTCCTCTTCCCTGTTTTTTCTTCCACTGCTTATGTCTGATTCTGGTCAGAGAAAACTTCTGCTTTTAAGGGCCGCAGCGATTTGAGTGGGCCCACTCAGGTCATCTAAGATACTCTCCCTACCTTAATTCCATCTGCAATCCCTCCATGGCAGCACCTGGATTCATGTTTGAATAACAGTGAGGAATATTGGGAGACGCCTCTAGAATTCTGTCTACCATAGGGGGTTAGAAATGTATCTGCCATAGTATTGTCATGAAGGTTAAATCAGGCGAGTTGATAAAGCACAGAGCAGAATCCCTGGCATACTCTTAAGGGCTCTTTAACCCATTCACTGTCGGGGAGCAGAGCGGACGCGGACACAAGACTCTTGGCAGCACTGACGTATAGATGCAGGATCTGCTCTGGCCCCACGGGCTTCCTGAATAGCAGGTACCCATCTGTTGATGGGGCCTCTCCGGGGGCCTTTTTTGACCTTGGGGAAGTTGTATCCTCTCTCCTGGGCTTGGTGTTACATTTTGGAGATTTATTTTCCATTGTCTCTACCATTTAAAGCTGGGGTTCAGGGTCGGTCTACCATGACATTGTGGTTAGACTTTTTCTGGCAAGATACCTCTCACATCAGATTATTGAGCAAGAAAGGAAACATCTGGTGTCCACGTGTAAGGGCTGGAGATGGGCACTAAGAATTGGGGAGCTCGGTTCATGAGATGTCTTTTGGTCTTTTTACCGGCAGCCCAGGGCCAGGAATACTGACTGCAGCTTTGGGTAGTTTGAGGACACATCTGAAAGAGACAAGCTCAAGCCTTTCAGTTTGTAGCTGTGCTTGCATTAAGACAAGGCTTGTTACTGTTGGGTTACCCTTCATTCCCAACCTCGCTGACTGGCAAGTTTCTGCCATTTCATGAGTAATGACCATCTGTGGGCACAGAGCTTCGTCATCTTGCGGTGACCTTCCTGTCATTTACAGATGAAGCAGCTGGGACTCTGGGAGGTTCGGCAGCTTGCCCTACAGCAAATACTTGGTAGAACTGGCAGTCGAACTCAGGCACGCCCTACCGCCTCAAGCCAACTACACTGTCCACAGCATGTCTGCGGGCCCGGCCTGAGCCCCAGTGCAAGGTATTAATCTCCTTTTTCTATTTCAGGCCCTGAAACGCCAGAGCTCGTTGGGTCTCTCCTTCTTTAACAGCATCTTGGCCCATGGGGACCTACGCAACAACAAGCTCAACCAGCTCTCTGTTAACCTGTGGCACCTGGCACAGAGGCATGGCTGTGCAGACACCAGGACCATGGTGAGGCGCGCGGAGGGCCCCGTGGTATGAGCCCACTGGCCAGTGCACACTGCCTTCAGCACAGCATCAGGGTTTGGGTATCAGACAACCCCATACTCCCTTTTTAGAAAGGCACTTGGTCCATTTCTGCTGGATCACTTCCAAGTAGTAAAAAGCAGAGCTGGCCCAGGTATGGTGGCTCCTGCCTATAATCCCAGCACTTTGAGAGGCTGAGGCAGGAGGATCCTTGAGGTCAGGGGTTTGACACCAGCCTGGGCAACACAGTGAGACCTGGTCTCTAAATAAATAATGAGCTGGTCATGGCGGTACACATCTGTAGTCCCAGCTACTCAGGGAGGCTGGAGACAGAGAATGGCTTGGGCCCAGGAGTTTGAGGCTGCAGTAAGCTGTAATCACACCACTGCACTCCAGACTGGGTGACAGAGCAAGACCTTGTCTCCAAAACAAAAAAAAAGAGACATACCTTTAAAAGTCTATTCCCTCTGAATAAAAACCATAAAACATCAGTTATTTCTGGTCATACCCAAAATCTGATTTTTAGGGCAAGTTGCAATCCAAGGTTTTATCTTAAAGACTTTGATTTCTTCCCTCTCCTCATCCCTCAAAAGACTCACTATTCTTTAAGAAGTCTAAGCTCACATAATGGCCAATTCAAAAGACTGGGATCTTTTCCTCGTAGGTGAAAACGCTAGAATACATCAAGAAGCGAAGCAAACAACCAGACATGACTCATCTGACAGAGCTGGCCCTCAGACTCCCTCTACAAACAAGAACCTGACCCCCGGCTCAGGGACTCTGGCACCAAACACAGAAAGGTCTCCTCTGCTGCCCCGAAAAATGAGAATCTAGGTTTCTCATTTTTCTTTTATTTTTATGTATGTGCAAATTGGTTTACGCTTTGGCCTCTACCCAGGTTATTCTGACAGTGAAGAAATGGGGGTGACAGAGCATTAAAATGCCATCTTCAGTGAGAAGCAGCATCTCTGTGTTTGCTTTGCACAAGTGGCCTTCCATTTCTCAGCCCCAGAAAGGATCCAATGGGCGTTAAGCAAGAGAGAAACAAGAATGGAAGTGACATCTTTCTTTTCTGGAAGTTATTTGTTTTTTCATAGCTGAGAAAAAGGACTTTGAAAAGCAGTGCCACTTTGTACCTTCAAGTTAGAGAGCGCCCAAAGTCTGGAACTCAGTGTTACCCCTATGGAGGCTTTATGAAAGGCAGAAATAGCGTTCCATTAACTCTTTTTCCTATCAAAAGCAGCTCTTGATTGGACTTAGAATCTGTGTTGGGAGAGCAAAGGAGAAAGCGAGGTCAAATTTGAGATTCTCTGTGGCTTCAGTATACTCTAACAGAATAAATGTCCTGAAGGAGCACTTACGTTCACGACTCTTCATTCAATTACTTCTGACTGTCTTCTTCCAGGAGAGAGAGAACGTGTCTAAATAGTAGCCAGTTTGCAGCCACAATTTGAAACAGCACGTGATTCTGTCTGCTTTTCTTCCAACAGTTTGGTGGAACCTGATTCTTCTATTACTGCTGGTAAGCCTGCACCAACATTTCATTTTCAAACAATAAAAGCATTAATACTGATTGGTGATTCATAATCTCAGGCCCACTGCCATTGTGAAAATGCATCCACATTGTGGCTTCAAAGTGCCCCAAACTATTATGCTTCTAGAAGATACACACTGGAATTAGACATGATTACATTTCATCTTACCTCTGAGAAATACAAGACTACAGTTAAACATTTGGTTAACCTCAAATGATAAAAGGGGCTAAAAGATTTTTTAAATACATTTATAGGCTGGGCGCAGTGATTCACACCTGTAATCCCAGCACTTTGTACCTGAGATCAGGAGTTCGAGACCAGCCTGGTCTAACATGGTGAAATCCTGTCTCTACTATAAATACAAAAATTAGCCAGGTGTGGTATCACACATCTGTAATCCCACCTACTTGGCAGGCTGAGGCAGGAGAATCGCTTGAACCCAGGAGGCGGAGGTTGCAGTGAGCCGAGATCTCGCCACTGTATTCCAGCCTGGGCGACAAGAGCTAAACAACATCTCAAAAAAATTTATAAAAGGACAGCAGACACGAAAGAATGCCTCTTTCCCTCCCCTCTACTAAATAAACCATACAGAAACTCAGAAAGCATTGTGCTGTGGCTCAAATACTCCCAAGTGGCCTTTATTTCACAAAATTATTTTCATTAAAATTATTTTATCTACTACGAATACTGTGTGCTGCTATTTAAGTGAAAAAAACAATTGGCAAATTCACATATTGTTCCTTAAGTCATTTCTTCTCCTTTGAGGCTGTGTTGGACGGCATTGCTTCCCAAGCCTAGGCCAGTGAATTCTTACTGCTCTCACATTAACCTCAACTTGGACTTTCACGTGAGGTTGGGTACCCATTATACCAAAGGCACTTATGAATCTTGTGTGGCCCAGGCGGAGGCTAAAATTTTGTACATCCTCATGTGTGCAGTTTTCCCCAGCCCATTACTGAATCAGCTCTCTGAAAATCCTGGTCTGCATGGGCTGAATTAGGAATGATGGAGCAATGACGTGTAAGCCAGAATCATAGAAGAGCAAAATGATGGAATCTTCTACATGAGACCTGTATTAGGTTTTCTATTGTTATTTTAACAAATCACAATTTTAGCGGCTTAAAACATGTTATCAACTTCCTGTGACATCGCCACATTCTTCTCCTCCTCCTGGCATTCAACATCCACCTAAGGAAGTCAACTGGGATTCTCTTCTGTGAGATAAAAAATCTCATCAGACACATCCCTGGGGCTGGGCATGGTGGTGCACACCTGTGATCCCAGCATTTTAGGAGGCTGAGACAGGAGGATGAATTGAGTCCAGGAGTTTGGGACCAGCCTGGACAATATAGTGAGACCCCGTCTCTACAAAAAAACTTAAAAACTAGCTGCTGGTTGTGCACGCCTGCAGGCCCAGCTACTTGGGAGGCTAAGGTGGGAGGATCACTTAAGCTGGACAGGTAACGGTTGCAATAAGCCATGATCATGCCACTACACTCCAGCCTGGGTGACAGAGTGAGACCCTATCTCAAACACACACACACATGTCCCTGGAAATCTGCCATCTGGTTCATTAGCAGGACTAACCACTCCTAAAATGCCTTGTTCAGAATCCAGTCAAAGCACAAAAAGACAAAATCCTAGCTCAGCACTTAGGGTCACAGGAAGGCCGGTGGAAAAGGCAGGACTGCTTTAGATGCCCATTTCCCAGCAGCAGAGGAAGCTCAGCCACATGCATTTGGTGACATCTCAGACACCTCCCTGCCTACCAGCTACTCTAAGACCGGAAAGGAAAAGGAGCTTGCGATTCCCTGTTCCTCGTTCACTCCACTTCCAATCAGACATGCAGACTTGTCATACAACTTGTTTCCAGGCCACACATGGTGGTTCACCAGCCCTTTGGGAGGCCGAGGCAGGCAGATCTGAGGTCAGGAGTTCAAGACCAGCCTAACCAACATGGAGAAACCCTGTCTCTACTAAAAATACAAAATTAGCCGGGCATGGTGGTACCTGCCTGTAATCCCAGCTACTTAGGAGGCTGAGACAGGAGAACCGCTTCAACCCAAGAAGCAGAGTTTGCAGTGAGCCGAGATCTCGCCTTTGCACTCTAGCCTCTGCAACAAGAGCAAAGCTCTGTCTCAAAAATAAAATAAAATTGTTTCCTCAATCTGAAGACATTTCAATCCCCAAGGAGGATTCTGCTGAAATGCCTGAGAGGGGACATTGAGAGTGGCAAACAGTGAACTCAGGGCTTCCGGGTACAACACCCTGCACTTAGTGGCTGGATGACCTCAGGCAATTTTATTACTTTAGCCCTGAACCTCAGTTGCCTCATCTATAAGATGGGGACAGTCATAGCACCCATTTCATCATTATGAAGATTAAATACATTAAGGAAAACACCAGTATGCGCCTAGCACCTGCTAAACACTCAACAAAGGTTATCTGTACACACCTGATGTCTCAAAAAGGGACAGAAAGTTTAACACAGAAACCAGGAGGATAAAACCACTCACTCGTTCTCCTGGCTCCAGAAACATGAGCTGCCCTACCCCAGTTCATCCAAGCCCATTAAGATAGGTGTCCTTGTCCTTAATCTCTTCTGGCGTTCAATGTGAGCCAAGTGTCAGATGGCTTTCATCTGCAAAACTAAAGAACCCATTTATGCCTAGTGTTCCATTACTGGAACGCTAAGCTTATGGGAGTTATTTATATCCTACTGCTCAAGGTCATCACCAAGATCTGATTTTTCACACACAAAAAATTTGTAACCTCCACCATAAATGGGATAATCAAAGTGATTGTGGCAGTTTTGGGGGGACAAAACTCTAGAGGTTAATCTTCCAGCTTGACTGACCTGGAGGCATTCCTGTCAATGTAAAAGATCTTGTTGGGGGCGGTGGAAAAGCCGAGGCCGGCTCCTCGGCTGTACTTCCAGCTCATGGCCCGGTCATAGTCCCGCTGCAGGTTCTGCTGCAAGCTGTCTGCTGCCTTCTTGCTGAGGGCCATGTTGGGCCTTGCAGTGGTGCTTGGGGGACGGCTGAACGAGGTGGACAGGTTTTTGAAGCCACCCATAAGTTTCAGAAATTTCAGTTTCTGTTCCTCGTTCTCAAAACTAGCAGTATCCCACTGGCCAAACTGGGTTCCCTGTGAGGAGAGGAAAAAGGTGGCTATTTTCCTTGAGTCCAAAACCCTTTCCTTCCCTTGCTACCAGCCTCATCAGAGAGGGCCCAGCAGATTAGATGGCTGCTGCGTACCAGGCACAAGGCACAGTGCTAATAAACTCAACAGTGGATGATTCCATTAATCCTAATGAGAGCCCTATAGAAACACTGGTGTTATTCCCATTGCACAGAGGAGGAAATAGAGGTCTGCAGCTTAGCTGGAGACAGAAACCTAACTAGTGACCCCTGGAATTCCAGCCCAGGTCCGGCCAACACCACTACACACCTGCACACAGAGTTGCCTTTCTGCCCTCCTCCTTCCCTAACTCACGGCACAGAGCACAGTGTGCCTCACTTCACAACACTGCACCCTCCCCGCACCTCCCTACATAGCACCCTCCCCCACCTGCCTACACAGTGCTCTCCCCCCACCTCCCTATACAGGATACCTCCCTATACATCACAGTCCCGCCACCCACCCTGCGCAGCACACTCCCCTAACAGCAGACTCCCCCCACCTCCCTAAACAGCAGCCTCCACCTCCTCCTGCCTCCCTACACAGCACACTCTAACTACACAGCGCATCTCCGCCCACCTCCCTACACACCATACCTCCCTACAGAGCACACTCCCTACACAGCAGACTCCCCCCACCTCCCTAAACAGCATACCTCTACATCACAGTCCCCTCAGCTCCATACACAACACACTCCCCACACCTCCCTACACAGCCTACTCTCCCCATTTCCCTACAGTGCACTCTCCCCACCTCCCTACCTACCAACACCTCCCTACACAGTGCACCCCCACCTCCCTACAGAGCATACTCCCTTCACAGCCCTACACAGCATACCTCCCTACACAGCACAGCCCAACCTCCCTAGACAGCATACTCCCCTTGTGCCTCCCTCTACAGTGCACTCCCCCCACCTCCCTACACAGCATACCTCCCTACACATCAGTCCCACCTTCCTACACAGTTCATCTCCTTACACAGCACACTCCCCCCACCTCCCTACACAGCGCCCTTCCTCCACCTCCCTATACAGGGCACTCTCCCCACTTCCCAGGAGGTCCTTATACAGCCCACCTCCTTCCACCTCCCCACAGTGCACAAGTCCCAAGACAGGCAACCCCCAGCCCAGCAGCAGGGCAGGGTGGGCTAGCGCTCACTCAGCAGCAGCCTAACATTTGGGTGAGCTGGAGGGTGGGAGAGGTTGAGTGCGGATCTAAAGTGTGCCTCTCAGAAGCCCTGTTTTAAAGGGGCCAACAGCCAAGTCAGACTCACCCTAGCCCAGGAACGCAGGGGTCCCCATTCCAGCCAAAGTGCTCTACCACCCCATGCAAGAAAATGCAGAAGAGCCCCTCCAGAACCCCTTCTCTCCAGGTCAGAGGGAGCGGAAAGAAACCCACCCCCAAGAAGTCTGTCACTCAAGTCATGTAGACCCGGGAAGAAGCCTCACCTGGGTGTCCCTGGTCAGGTCCCCTAACCTCTCTCAGCCTTGGTGTCCTCATCTCTGAGCTGGGGTCATAATATCCCCCTAACAGGGCTTCAGTGAGACGTACATTGGATTTGACACCAAAAGCCCAGTGCGCGATGCATGGCATACCTGAATGCCTCAGCGACGGGTCACTCCTCTCCCCACCCCAACCACACTGCTGACACCCACACTGCCTGGGAACTTGGAAGTTTCCGTCACAAGCCGGATGCCAGCCCAGCACTTACTTCTGCGTTGGCCTTGGGAGAACAAGAACCAGTTATCACTACAGTTGCCCTGAGTGAACTGGTGACACATTCTCCCAGCTTCATGGTGGCCCAAATGGCGAAATAAGGACAGCCCCCCTGCCCTGCAGTTTCTGGAGTGAGAGGCCACCTGTGACCACCCCACGCGGTCTGGGGAGAGCAGGAGACTGCTAGCTGTACCTGGGTGAACCAGCGCTTCAAATGGCTGCTGCCCACCCAGAGGGCCCCTTGACCACCACATGTCTCAGTGGCATGGCACGTCCCTGCGCCTGTGCCCCAGGATCACTCTCCTGTCATCAGGTCCTTCCAGGGACATCAGCTCCGAATCACACTGCCTTGTTTCTTGCCTTCCCTCTTCAAGCTGGGTGTCTCATCAGCTTGGCTCAGCTCAGCAGGGTGACATAGAGAGAAAGGGCACCCCCAGGCAGGACACCTAACAAAGCCCCACTCCATACCCCACCATGCCAAGGTACGAGTCCCATTTGATGGGTGTGGACACTAGAGGCTCGGGGAAAGGCACCTGCCCAGAGTTCCCCAACTAGAAAGTTGCAGAGCCAGGAAGTGATTTCAGATCTTTTGATCTGAATCTTTTCTTTTCTGCTGAATGCACTGACAGCTAAAGACAGAGCCTGAAGGCCAGCCTCAATGGTCATCCGGACCCTTCTCTTCCTCTCCCCAAAATCCAATCTATGAACAAGTCCCACCAGCTGTGCCTCGGAAATAAACCACACAGCTGTTTTCTCTACCCACTGCCGCCATCCTCAGGCTGCGGTACGCAGGCTGCGCCTTCTCCCAGGGCTTCCTGCTTGAAGAGTCAATGCCCTCCAGCTGCCCCCACTCAGCCAGACCCCAGGCCAGCTCTCTACCGAGGCCTGTGGCCTGCAGCCCTGTCATCCCTCGTTCCAGGTGCAGTGCAGTCCCATTAGCCTTCCCTACAGATCACGCCAGGTCCTTTCCTACCTTAGGGCTCCGCACCAGCCACTGGCCTGATGGAAACGCTCTTCCCCTGGTCTCCTGCAGGCTGGGGCTTCTGCACCCCGAACATCTCTGGACAGGCATCGCCATCTCCCAGTCCTTGCCCCATCTGCTGCAGAGCCCACCCGCAGCCTCTCTCCACCTCACTGTTCTTTCTTCTGAGGCCTACTGCCATCTGAACTAATCTTCCTTTTCCTGCTTGCTAACCATTTCCCTGCCCCATCACCCTCCTTGGGCCTCTAGACAGTGAGCACGACAATGGGGATCGTATGGGCTTCATCTGCTCCATGTCCAGCACCCAGCACACAGCCCCACTGAACCCCGCCAGGGCCCCAGCCTGCCAGCCTCCCACTCTCCAGCCTCATGATCCTCACACCCTCCTCCCTCCCAAGAAATCACCTCAGGCCTGGCTTGGATGCTTCCCAGTCAAAGTGCATCTGAGAAAGGCCACTACCACCACCACCACCACCACCACCCACCCCAACCGCCCCCCAACCCCCACCCCCCCACCCCCACCCCGCCTCCTGCCCCTGTTCCTAGCAGCCCTCTCAGGGTACTGTCCACCGCTGGCAAGAGCTCGCTGGAATGTGTCCTCGGTGACTAATCCCTGGGGCACCCCACCAGTCCAGCGCTGAGACAAAGGTTCAGGCAGCTTATCTCATGGAGCCAGCTCTCCAGGAGGAGGCAAGTGCCTCTTCAGAAGGCAGGAAATTAGCTTAGGACAAGTTCTGCTGTGGAGGGAGCCAACTGCAGGCTGGGGCTGCCTCTGGGGCCTGGACAGACTGCGTTCCCCTGCTCCACTCCCCATGCTGGAGGCGAGGGGAGGCCGAGGGCACCACCTCCCCACAGAGCCCTAGCCCTGAACTTACCATCAACTTCCTGGTTTCAGAAGCTTCAGTTTTGCCTGACTCTCGATCAATCTCTTCCTGCAAGGCCTTTCGCCTCACCTGCACAAGGAGGATGAAAGAAGAGGGCCATCAGACACAGAGGTCTTCTTCAGGCTTACAAACCAGGACAGACACGGGCCAGGGGAACGGCACATGGGAAGAACTAACGCAGCCTGACTGTGCTACCAACGATGGGAAGCTGGTGTCAAAAGTATCCTCTTAGCATCTCGAGAGCTGCGGTCCCTTGGCCTACACTGGGCAGGCTCATTTATCCTCTTTAACCAGGGTTTCTTAAGAATGAATTTTCCTAGAAACTGAACCTCAACCCCCTTCACCGTTAGAACAGTTTAACAGCCATGTGACGTGGAGACCTTCCCCAAACGCAATGCCAAAGCAATGCCTTCTTGTGCAGAGGACACCACAGTTAACTTTTGTGATGATAAGAAGTGTTTTCTACAAAGAAAACAGGCTGTAGAGTCGGGCAGAGGCTGGTTTGTATGTATGTATGTATTGAGACAGGGTCTTGCTCTGTCACCCAGGCTGGTGTGCAGTGGTGCAATCTGGGCTCACTACAACCTCTGCCTCCCAGGCTCAAGTGATTCTTCTCCCTAAGCCTCCCATGTAGCTGAGACTCCAGGCGAACGCCACTGTACCTGGCTAATTTCTGTATTTTTAGTACAGAGGTGGTTTCGCCATGCTGCCCAGGCTGGTCTTGAACTCCTGGCCTCAAATGATCCACCCGCCTTGGCCTCCCAAAGTGCTAGGATTACAGATGTGGGCGACCACGCCTGAACAGAGGCGAGTTTGAATCCCAGCACTGCCATTAACTAGCTGTGTGACCTTGGGTAAGTCACTCAACCTTTCTGGTCTATTTATCCACAATAAACGGACCTATCAGCTACCTTAAAGTGTGGGAAAAAAAAAAAAAAAAACAGAAATATCAACAGAAAGTACATAGTAAAGCACCTGGCACACAGTAGTTTCATCTTATACATGTGGCTAGTATGGCCCAAGGCTGCCACTGGAGCACCAATCAGTAAGTAACTGCGGCCATTTATTAAGCACAGATATGAGGCCGGCCACTGCCGACCGCTTCACAAACATGACCTCATTTGGTCTTCACAGCAACCTGTGAAGGTCCACGCTGTCACAATCCCTACTTCACAGAGGGGAAGAATGAGGGTCGGGGAGGTTAATGCCCACCCAGGTCCCCCAATCAGTAACTGTCTAACACCAGGTCTATATGGCTACCCCTATGTCCTGTCAGGCCAGAAAGTCCACTTGCCACAGGAGATGCATTTGCCAGGGTATCTGGGCATGACAGAAGCAGAAGCTGATTCACAACAAAACTTCTCTAAATGCTCCTGAATTAGCCCAGGGGGTGGCAGCCTGTGGACCTGGCTGAGCATGTATCACCTGCTCAGCTGCAGGGTGTTAGGGACACACTCCTCATATCCTGCAGCAAGTTGGAATGGCCAATCCGCCTCTTGGCCACAGCCACGGCAGCCAGTGGCAAGGCTCCCAGCATAAGAATGGGGAAGGCACGCACTACCTGCCCGAGAGGTGTGTGTTGACGGCTGGCCCAGTGGCCTCTGGAGTCCCTGGTGCCCCTGAGACCAGGATCATAGAGCCAGCCTGGCAGGTGGCAAGTGAGGCTCCAGGGGGTGGCAAGAAGCAGCGGAAGGGCCTGAGGAGGGTCCGGGCTGTACCTGGTCTATGTGCGCTTCATCCATGTTGCCTTTCTTTTCCAACACCACCTCTAAGTCCGTGTCTGCATCCTGCAGGAGAGGGCAGAGCTGGGTAAGGTTCAAGTTCACGATGAATGTCCTCTGCCCCTGCACCCAGCCGGGGTGAGATCATGACAAAGTCCAGAAAAGACCACGGCATCAGCCTCGGCCTTGCCACCTAGAAACATCTCATAGTCAGCAAAGCCCTTCCCATCCGTTCTCTTCCACAATTCTTCCCCAAAACATGGTACTAACCTGTTTGATGGATGAAGAAACTGAAGCTCAGACAGGGAAAGGAACTAAGAGATGACTCCTTGGCTCAGGGATTGAGGATGCTAACCCACATCTAACCCAGGGGACGGGGGGAGGGGGAGGAGGAAAATACAAAGCCCAGAGCTGAGGAAATCTCATACAGCCATCTCCTGCTACCCAAATCTACGCGATTTACAAGCTGTGTATACTGAACTCTGATGGTACTCAGGTAGCTACAGATACGACACTATCTCACCTAACTTGGTTGCTGAGTTTTGGATAGCAAGTGGCAAGAGTACTGAAAGTGAGGGATTCCTCTTAATTCATCACACCCCCACTGCAGAGAGGGACGACCTGGGTGGTTTCAGTAGCAAAGGATACCTAAATTATCAACGATACTGCATAAACCCCTGGATCCAGCCATATATGAAGCTAGTTTCCAATTGCAATTGCATGCAATAAATTCCTTATTCTGGCTGAAATCAACCAGGGTTCTGGCAGCTAAAACTATGAGTACTCATGCATGTGCAAACACGCACACAGGTGCATACACACCCCTCCCAAACCCCTCCCTGAATTCTCCCACGGCGGAGTCCATTTCTGAAGGAAAACCTACCTCCTTCCCAGGGTCTCCTGCTACCCCACTCTCTGTGCTCTTCTTTTTCTTCCTTTTCAGAGCTGGCTCCTCGATGACTGGATGCTCTGCCTTCTTCTTGGACTTCATCTTTTTCTTCACGGGGGCCTTCGGGCCATCTCCTATGGGGATGTATTCCGGAGCCTCAACTTTGACTGGCTTCTTTTTCCTTCCTTTCCTAGGGCTGCTCTCCATGGACCTGGGGGGCTGAGAGTGGCCTGGGAGGGCCTCTCCCTCCTGGTGGACTTTTTTTTCCTTCTTCACTTTCTCACTGTGTTCCCTGGGGCTCTTCTGCTTCCGTTTCTGCCCCACAGCTGCCTGTTCCTCACCCTCCTTCCCCACTGAGCAAGTGTCCCCAGCATCCCCAGCTTCACAGACCCAAGGGTCCTGGACTGTGGGGTCCTGGGCCCCCTTTTTTTCCTTCTTGTGTTTTTTGAGCTTCTTGCCAAATCTGGTTTCCTCCTTACCCTGTCTGGGGTCTGGGGAGGTTTTCAGCCCAGAGGCATGGGACATGGCCAGAGGTGACTTCTTCTTTTTCTTCTCTCTACTGACGAACTCTAAGTGGCCAAGTACCTGCTTCCTGGGGCTGCATGACTTCTCCGTCCGCCTGGCACGCAGCATGGTCTCAGATTCTACTTGCTCCTCATAAAGCGTGCTGATGCTCTTCTTCTTTTTCTTTTTCTTCACTAGAGGCATCTCAGGTGCCTGCCCGCGGACCAAACTCTTACAGGAGGATGTGGCTCTTATAGGAGAAACATCAGCAAAGTCATCTTCATTGTTTAAAACTGGGCGCTGAGTCTCTGGTTCTTTGACCACTTTCTTCTTCTTCTTTTTCTTCTTCTCTGGGAGCCCAGCGAACAGGTCTACTTTGTGTGTCTTGGTGATCATTCCTGAAAAAAGAAATGGTACAAGTTACCCCTACACCAAGCCATCCCGTGTTCAATTCTCCTAAGCAATTGCCAAGAACCATGTTTCTGTGAGTGGGTGGTCTAAGTGTTAGGGGATCGTGAAAACGGGCATGATTCCTTTAGAACAAAAAAAAAGAAATACAATAGAAACAGCATAAATTTTAAATCCAGGCAGCCCTAGGTTCAAACCTAAATGGCTCTCTCACCTTAAGTAAATCAGCTAACCTCCCTGAGCCTCCATTTCTCCATCTGGAAAATGGAGGAACACCTGCTTCCTCAAAGGGGTGTTGGAAGAATAAATGAGATAATCCATGGAAAGTGCTTGATACATTGTTAATTCCCTTTTTCTTTTTTTGAGATAGTCTTGCTCTGTCACTCAGGCTGGAGTGCAGTGGCACGATCAAGGCTCACTGCAACCTCCACCTCCTGGGTTCAAGTGATTCTCTTGCCTCAGCCTTCCCTGAGTAGCTGGGATAACAGGCACCTGCGATCATGCCCAGCTAAGTTTTTCTTTCTTTTTTAATAGAGACGGGATTTCACCATGTTGGCCAGGCTGGTCTCGAACTCCTGACCTCAAGTAACCACCCGAGTCAACCTCCCAAAGTGCTGGGATTACAGGCATGAGCCACTGTGCCTGACCTAGTTTCATTGTTTTTAAAATTTCAAGTTGATTGCCAACACTGAATGAGTCACAATGATACAGAGTACTGAGGGTACCCAGCTTGCCTTGGACAGATGTCATGGAAGCACCTGTGAGAATGGGCTGGGGTCCTCAATACCCTTCAGCGTCCAGCTGGGCCACTTCTCTCACTCCAGTCCCCAGCCAGCTCCTGCTGCTCCCTGCACTAGACATTCCCAGAATCGAGAAGCAAAATATCCCCTCACAGGAGGTTAGGATTATGGGAGAGAAAGGAAGAGCTTCTCCATCCTGTAGCCCTCCTCAGCTTCAAAACCTAGAGGGTCCACACTGGAGCTGCTCACTCTTAGCAGCTTCAAAGAGCCAGGCCAGGCCTGAGCTACAGGTCAAGTTCATTCATAACCCACTCCAGGAGCACCTGGAGAGTCAAGGAATAACTACACTCATTCATTCCTGTCTATCCTGTTTCCTGGTTTATTTCCAGTGTCCTACTCAGCGCCTTGCACATAGCAGGTGCTCAGTAAATACTCACTGAATGAATGAATACATGCTAGAGATGCAGAGATGAACAAGGTAAAACATCACCCATAAAGAAGCAAGTAGGTGTAGGAGGGAATGAGGTGTGATAACAATGATACAGGTGATAAAAGCAAGGACAGTGGTAAGGTCAGGGTGGTGGAGGTTATGTAACCTGTCCTACCAGTTGTCAGGAAAATGCCTGAAGAATAACTGCAGGATGGTGGTATTAATCCCTAAGACAAAGGTACTGAAGGCAAGTGGCTGAAGGGCTGAGGGGAGAGGCCTGATTGGACAGATGCTTTGGAGATGTTCACAGGACAGATGAATATATGGATGAGGTGTTTGGGTGGCAGTGTTGTGACATAAATTTAGGAAGATATGGGTGGTGATTAAGCCTTGAACAGAACAAGCCTGAGACAAGACCTCAAGAAATACAGTAGTCCCTTACCAAGAACCAGCTCGGCCGGGAGACTCCCACCCAGGACGGGCTGAAGGTGTTGCAAGGCAGTGAGAGGCAGTGACCCAGATAGAGAATAGAGTGGGTCTACTCTGGGGACCAACAGCCTGAGAGTCTGCGATGACTGCAGCTCTCCAGGACTGAAAGCCCTGGGCAGAGATCCATCCACGTATTTGCTCTTTTACAGGTGAGTCGTATTAACACACAGGTGTTTTCAATACGCACATCACACAGGCATATACCAGGCAGGCAGCTGTTGCCTGCCTACGACTAATTACAAACTACAAGCATCCTCCACAAAGGAGTCATGGGGGCAGGGTAAACTTAATGTTCCTCAACACTGCCTCAAATCCCAGTTTCCCTTCCCAGGTTTCAGTTACCCCTGGTTAACCCTGGTCCCAACTTAGGTGAGCACAGTACAGGAGAAGACATTTTGAGAGGGAGACCACGTGTATGTAACTTTTATTACAGTAAACTGTAATTGTTCTGTTTTATTACTAGCTAGATCGTTGGTAATCTTTTATTGTACCTTTTTCTGAGACAAGGTCTCACTCTGTTGCCCAGGCTGGAGTGCAGTGGCATGATCTCGGCTCACTACAATCTCCACCTCCCAGGTTCGAGCAATTCTCACGCCTCAGCCTCCCAAATAGCTGGGATTACAGGCATATACTACAGGCTCGGCTAATTTTTGTATTTTTAGTAGGGACGGGGTTTCACTACGTTGGCCAGGCTGGTCTCCAACTCCTGGCCTCAGGTGATCTGCCTACCTCGGCCTCCCAAAGTGCTAGGAATATAGACGTGAGCCACCAAGCCCAGCCCTGCTGTGCCTAATTTATAAACTTTGTCACGGGTAGTATACAAAGGAAAAAATATATTTAGGGTTCAGTACTATTTGTGGTTTCAGGTATCCACAGGTTGTTTAGAAACGTACTGACCGCGGATAAGGGGAGAGCAGGACTACTGTATTGACATTTAAATAAACGGGCAGAGGAAAAGGGGCTTTTGCCAAGGAGAAGGTGCAAACCTGTAAAGAGTGTAGTCAAGAAAGCCAAGACCACTTCTGAATAGGGGAGTGGCCAAGAGATCTGTTAAGAACAAAGAATCCACCTGGAAGCTGCGGGTCAACTCTTAATTCCCTTCTCTCCCCATCTCTGCCACTTAGAAAATTATTGCATCCTCCTCTCTAGCTCTGCGACCAAATGCATTCACTCTTGCAAGGAGAAAGGAAAAGAACATTACAGTGCATCTCCTGCAAACACAAACACTTTCTCCAAAAGCGCTTTTAAATTCCCGCGGCAGCCATGTGAGGATCACAGTGAATACTCAACCTCACAAGCTCCAGAGACTTTAATGATTGACTTGCCCTAGGTTCCAAAACCAGCAAGTGGAAAACGAAGATTGGAATTCCGCCCACAAGACTCAAAGCCTGTGCAGCAACACCCCGCTCCCCCGCAGGATGACCAGTAGGACGCGCAGGAGCCAGGAAGTGAGGTCTGTGTCTCCAGGGATTCCAGGCGCCAAAGCCTCCGCAGCAATAGACAGGGAAGGATTACATGGGGTCCCAGGCACCGCTCCGAGGCGGGAAAACTTCCTGGAGGCGGCGGCCTCAGGCCGGGGCCGGCGCACACCAACTAGAGGGGTCAGATTTGGGAATGTGGGTGGTCCGCTTTTCCCTCTCTTCTCCGGGGCGCACTTCCCCAGATGCAAACACCGAGCCCGCCCGCCTGAAACGCGCCCTGGCACTCACCCGTGGGCCAAACTTCCGCGCCTCCACGTGAGAGCCCGCTACGCCGTGACCCGGAAGTCCACTTCGAGTCGCCGGCCCACCCTCTCCGGTTCCGCCTTCTATCGGGTCGCGGCCTTCCGGCGAACGCGGTTACCTTGGAAACCGTGGCCATGGCAACGCCGCGGCAGGTCCCCAGCTACAATGTTCAGCACAAGCCCAGCAGCTCTGCAAACTCGTCGTTCACCCGCACGCCGGTGCGCAACTTGTCTCTCGGGTCCCGCGAGCTGCCTATCTCGCCATGGCAGGTCGCCGAGCCGTCGGGCAAGAATCTGTGGGAGCAGATCTGCGAGGGTAGGCAGCCCGGGCTGGCCGAGAAGGGCGGGACCCGGGCGCCTGGGCTGGGACCGCGCTGGGGTAGCGCCCTCTGTGCTCCAGGCGGCTGACTTGCGGGGCCGCCGGGCCGCGCCACGGGCCCGGGCTCCGCATTTTACACACGGGGAAACTGAGGCTTGGAGAAGCTGGCCCGAGGTTACGCAGCGCGGCCTCCAACCGCGATCCGTAGTGAGGTCAAAGGCAAGGGAACGACGAGGGGAAGCAGAATAAAGAGAACTAGCTATGCGGCGTGGACCAGCAGTTTCTGAACCTCGTTTAGTGAACGGAAAAGAATTGCTGGGGCGGGGATCTTGTTAAAAACGTAGGTTCCCAGGCCCCGCCCACAGAGCGTCAAATTGGGAGTCAGGGAATTTGCACTTTTTAAAAAGAGCACCCAAAGCCGGGCGCAGTGGCTAACGCCTGTAATCCCAGCACGTTGGGAGGCCGAGGCGGGCGGATCACGAGGTCAAGAGATCGAGACCATCCTAGCCAACATGGTGAAACCCCGTCTCTACTAAAAATACAAAAATTAGCTGGACGTGGTGGTGCGCGCCTGTAGTCCCAGCTACTCGGGAGGCTGAAGCAGGAGAATTGCTTGAACCCAGGAGGCGGAGGTTGCAGTGAGCCGAGATTGTGCCACTGCACTCCAGCCTTGTGCCTGGCAGCACGGCAAGACTCTGTCAAAAAAAGAGAGCACCCCAGGTAATCCTAACGTAGGTAGACGGTGGCCCACACGTTCTGTAACCATGGTGTGGACAAACGGGTTTTGGTCCTTTCTTGCTTCAAACCTTCCTTAACCTCCCCAAACGGAGGTTAGCACATCTTCCTTTATGACCCTGCTCAGTATTCTTTACTTAGGTTGGGCAAATTATTTAACTTATTACCCTGTCTGCAAAGTGGTAATAATAATGGCACCTATTTCGATGGTGTTAGGAAGATGGAACCAGATAGTCACAAAAAGTGCTTAGCAAACTGCCTGATTCTAGGAGTGCACAACGTTTATGGGGGGTGGGGCTGCTTGATTTACAGAAAGAGCTGCGTAAGCATTAGTTCTTACTGTGCAATTGAGGAACTGAATTTCTTGTTGGACTTTTGTTTTTTTGAGACGGAGTCCTGCTCTGCCGCTCAGGCTGGAGTGCAGTGGCGGATCGCTCACTGCAACTTCAGACTCCCGGGTTCAAACGATTCTCCCGCCTCAGCCTCCTCAGTAGCTGGGTAGCTGGGATAACAGGAACCTGCCATCATGCCTGGATCATTTTTGTATTTTTGTCGCGAAAGGGTTTCACTGTGTTGACCAGGCTGGTCTTGAACTCCTGACCTCAGGTGATATACCCACCTCGGCCTCCCAAAGTGTTGGGATTACAGGCACGAGCCAGTGCAGCCAGCCCGGACTTAATTTTAATAAATATAATGGCTGGGTGCGGTGGCTCATACCTGTAATCCCAGCACTTTGGGAAGCTGAGGCAGGTGGATGACAAGGTCAGGAGTTCGAGACCAGCCTGGCTAACATGGTGAAACCCCGTCTCTACTAAAAATACAAAAATTAGCTTGGTATAGTGGCGGGTGCCTGTAATCCCAGCTACTCAGGAGGCTGAGGCAGGAGAATCACTTGAACCTGGGAGGTGGAGGTTGAGGTTGCAGTGAGCTGAGATCACACTGTTGCACTCCAGCCTGGGCAACAGAGTGAGACTTCATCTCAAAAATAAATAAATGTACTTAAATAGCCACATGTGGATAGTGGCTGCTGTATTGGACAGTGCAGGTCAGTAAATGTTTATTGAATGGGAAAAAAGAATGAATGCACCAGTATATGTGATGACTTAAAAGCAAGTGGAGAATACAGAGAAGGAAGAGAATAGTAGACACAGTTGACAGATGCCCTCAAAAGCTGTCTATTTTAATCCCTATCCAGTACTTAAATTACTTCTCCAACGATACATCTTACTAGAAAAAAATTTCTTTCATTTTGGATGTTCTCTTTGTCACTTTTACCCCTAGGTCCTTACCTCTTGTAAGGTAACACCCCTAGGTGCTATGACTCAAGGAGCGAATCACTCCAATACAAATAATATACTCAGATATTTAGCCAGGTGTGGTGGTGCATGCCTGTAATCCCAGCTACTCGGGAGGCTGAGTCAGGAGAATCACTTGAACCCAGAAGGCAGAGGTTGCAGTGAGCTGAGATCGCGCCATTGCCTCCAACCTGGGGCGACAGAGTGAAATTCTGCATTAAAAAAAAAAAAAATTTTAATTAAAAATAAAAATATGCTCACATATTTGAATGTAGTTATTGTGGCTGTCTTTCCCCCATAGCTTTTACTTCTCCACACTTCTCCAAGGCAAACAGTTCTTTATAATGCAATTTACTAGAGTATTATTGGAAAAGTTACTCAGCCTCATCTGTAAGAGATGGATAATTGTTGTACGTACCTCACAGGGCTATTGTGGGGATCAAGTAAGATAATGTATGAAAAGGTGCTTAGCACAGTGCCTGGCATTTAAAAAGTAGCCAATACGCCGGGTGCGGTGGCTCACCGCTGTAATCCCAGCACTTTGGGAGGCCAAGGCGGGAAGATCACGAGGTCAAGAGATCGAGACCATCCTGGCCTATACGGTAAGACCCCATCTCTACTAAAAATACAAAAAAAAATTAGCCGGGTGTGGTGGCACGCCCCTGTGGTCCTAGCTACTTGGGAGGCTGAGGCGGAAGAATCGCTTGAACCCAGGAGGCGGAGATTGCATTGAGCCGAGATTGCGCCACTGCACTCCAGCGTGGTAACAGAGCAAGACTCTGTCTCCAAAAAAAAAAAAAAACAAAGTAGTCAATAAATGTTCATTATTGTTGATAAAGAAACCTGCTTTGTGTTTTACTCACCAAGTTTATTTTGGTCAAATAGGCCTGTAGAGAGAAAACAAAGACAAAGGGTTTTGGTGCTCTCTGAAAAGCAAGTGAATTGATGCCACTATAAAATGATAGAGTTACGGAATGAGGCCAGGCAATGGTGGCTCACACCTGTAATGCCAGCACTTTGGGAGGCCAAGGCGGGTGGATCACCTGAGGTCAGGAGTTGGAGACCAGCCTGGCCAACATGTTGAAACTCCATCTCTACTAAAAATACACAAAACAAGTCGGGCTTGGTAGTGAATAATCCCAGCTACTTGGGAGGCTTAGGCAGAGAATAGCTTGAACCTGAGTGGTGGAGATTGGAGTGAGCTGAGATTGCACCACTGTACTCCAGCTTGGGCGACAGAGTGAGACTCCTTCGAAAAAAACAACAACAAAAAATGAATGTAATGAAGTCAGCATTAGCGAACTACACATATGGCACTGTGATGATTATGTGCCCATAATCTAGATAAACCCAATTCTTAAACATCTAACAACTGCAATATTCTATAACATATAGTAAATTGAGTATCTCACAACAAACATGAAAAAACAGGCTTTGTAGTAATCCTATATTTGAGGTTAAGTACTACATTCTATTAAGATAATCTCCATTTAAAAGGTAAATTATCATAGCAAGCAGACCTGCTAGAAACTCAATTTCATGAAGACAAAATACAAAGTGGGTAAATATCTAACACACAGACTAACCAACCTGATTAGTGCGCTTTTGTATGGATGTGCATGCCCACCACTGTAACTTACTTGTAAATACCGGTTTTCTCCCTCATCTTTCCAGTGACAACTGAGAGCTTTGTATTCTAAAAAGCACTTGTGTGTCAATAAACTTCTTCCCTGCCCACACTTCTAATCAAATCTTATAGTAGTTTGTGACTTGCTGGGTTCATGGTTTTAGTCAAGACAATCAAAGGATGTGGGGCTTACACTTTCCTTTTTTTTTTTTTTGAGACGGAGTTTCACTCGTTACCCAGGCTGGAGTGCAATGGCGCGATCTGGGCTCACCACAACCTCTGCCTCCTGGGTTCAGGCAATTCTCCTGCCTCAGCCTCCTGAGTAGCCGGGATCACAGGCACATGCCACCGTGCCCAGCTAATTTTTTGTATTTTTAGTAGAGACGAGGTTTCACCATGTTGACCAGGATGGTCTCGACCTCTTGACCTCGTGATCCACCCACCTCGGCCTCCCAAAGTACTGGGATTACAGGCATGAGCCACCGCGCCCGGCCTCCTTTTTTTTTGAGATGGAGTCTGGCTCTGTTGCCCCGACTGGAGCGTAGTGGTGCAATCTTGGTTCACTGCAACCTCCACCTCCTAGGTTTGAGTGATTCTCCCGTCTCAGCCTCCCAAGTAGCTGGAATTACAGGTGCCCGCCACCATGCCTGGCTAATTTTTTGTAGAGATGGAGTTTCGCCATGTTGACCAGCCTGGTCTCGAACTCCTGACCTCAAGCATTCACCGCCTTTGCCTCCCAAAGTGCTGGGATTACAGGCATTCCTATTTTGATATGCTGTGATTACTCTTATCAGTATCCTCACCATTGTCTTTGGTGCATCACTTAATCACACACTTTCTGGTCTCGGCCCCCAATGCTGTTGTAAAATCTGGCCTTTCATTTCATCTGCCAGATACCGACATGGATCAGTTGTAAATCAATACCTGTTCCTTCAGCACAGCCACTGAGCAAGCTGGAGAAAGATGACCCCAGCTGGCTCTCAGCACTGCTCAGCAATCAGCGTCTCTCTCTTAGTGCCTTCTTCCATTGTCTGTGTCCACTAGTCCAAGTTTCTAACCCTTCCTGAAATGTTCTATGATACCTCTCAGCATAGGAGGCATTCACTGAGTAGTCAGGCGGTCAGGAGTGGGAGGGAGTCCGCTAACATCCATCTGTACACGTGGAAGCAGCTCTCACCCTGCTACCTGCTGCTCAGCTCTGCATCTATATTTACCATCCGCTTGCTATTCCAGGATCCTGCTAACTCACCTCCTCTACTATGCCTTTAGCTTCTCTACTAACTTTTCTCTCCAAATCCCTGGCTTGTAATCTCAGGAAGAAACCTCCACCTTGACCCCAT